AATGTTATTATATTCGCCCCCATTATCACATTGGAAGGTTTTTATGTCGGTGTTGAAATGATTTTTAACATGAGCACAAAAATGAACAAATTTGGAAAACACTTCGGATTTATGTAGATACATCCAAAAGGAAATGTGAGAACTGATCTGAGAAAATAACATAATATTTCAAACCCTCAAAACTAGTGATTAATGATGCCCAAACATCAGAGTGAACAACGTTAAAAGGAAATGATTCAACTGAATCAGAACTACTAAATGAAAGACTCACATGTTCTCCGGTTTGACAAGTCCTGCAAAGATTACGATCTTTATTTTTATTACATGAAATAGAAGAACTAGAAAGTAAATAATGAAAAAAAGCACTTGGGTGTCTTAGACGTTGATGCCAAACTGGAGAGATGATGGTAGCAAAGGCTTGAGGAGATGGGTGTGTGACTAGATAGATATCCTCGAGCTGTCACATTGAATTAGAATGCGACGTATCCAATAATCCTTCACGGAAAAGCCAAATTCGTCAAATTCGATAGTGAATTTGTTATCTCTAGTGAGTTTGCGAACAGAGACGAGATTTTTGATAATATTATGAGTAATAAGAATATTGTGAAGGTGAAGGGTGCAATGAGGACTATTGATGAAGATAGTGGAATGACCAGTTTTGGTGGCAGTAATTTTTTATCCAAACTATGTGACATCCCATTTTCATGGCCATTTTAAAACCTTTTATTTATGCTTATTTAAAATAGAGTTTATTTATAAATGCATAATTTGCCCCATAAAAGTATTCCCGAAGAAATGTTTTTCAATGATTATTAAAAACCTTGAGATGTCATGACTGATACAAGAAACACAGGCATAAACAGGCCTTACAGTATCTTAGACTAACAATCTACATCTCATTGAATCTCTCATTATTCATGTACATTTATACTGCTACCTATGATACAAAGAAGCTGAGTGGGTCAGGTTGGGAAACCTGGTGAGTTAGGGTTTTCAACCCACAATAGTATAGTTAATATGTTTAATTATCAAAAAATTAACCTGATTACCCATCCTTGTTTTCTTATTTATTCTCCCCTAAGGATCTCTCCTAAGGGTCATTATAGTCATCGTTGCTGACAATATTGTTTCAGGGATTTCTCCGCAATACATGCCAGTAGGTTTCTTTCTATTTTCATTCCTAAGGATCTGTCCCAAAGATCATTTTAATCATCGTTGCTAACAGTACTGTTATAGGGATTTCTCTGCATTACATGTCAGTAGGAAGTAGAGTACATCATATGGACACAAAGTCCATCACCTACAGGTTTATGAGCCTGGATGCATTCTACATGACTGTCATCAAATAGTCTGGTGGTCGTCATCTATACTCTATTAGATGACTACATGGCTTAGTATAATAGTACGAGTAAGTTAAGGCCTTTCATTATTATTTTCATCTCTCATCATCATTATTCTATTCATCCCTCATTACCCATCACTAATCAATATATTTCATCTAACACATAATCATTTTGCACATAAGCACATATAACATTTAACTATCTAAATACTTCATATCTTTGTGTAAGATGAAAGTAACAATATACTCACTTGTTAAAAGTGGATGCCTCAAAATTTGGGCATAACTTTTCCTTGGTACTTTATCTTTTCCTCTGACGTAACCTAGGTTCACATTACTAAGTCTTAGTCTTACATTCCTGGCAACTAATGACAGTCTATATTCCTCACTAATCCCAATGTCTATATCAAGATCTATCAAGTAAGGAACAACCAGGTAGGATCATATCAAAGGTAGGGTCCGTTTGATATACAAAGTATACTGTTTGGAAATCTCACTTTAAACACCTTACTAAATCAAGCATAGACATCATCCCCGTAAGTAGATCAATCAATATAATGACTTGGAATCATTGATAAATCTTAATTATAGGTTCATAATAACGACTATGATTATAATTAAAAGTTACACTTAAAGAAAATAAGTGTAGCTTAACTTACAAAGCTTTTAACAAAAACCGGGAATTATGTGTGCATAATCTCGATCCGAAAGCTTTATATCTCAGACACTCCAGGGCCTTGCTAAAGTAGCCGGAAACTAGAAAGTATCGGGACTAGATGGTGGAAGATATTCCAGAAGTTTTGAGAGGAAATGGTGTGAGGAGAATGCTGAAATCGAAGGTATATAGAGGGGAATTTTGCATGTGCGATGTGCACTTGGTCGGGGCAGGTGACGTGCCTTTAGTCGTTGCTCGACACATGGCGGATAACGGGTGGAGTGTCGGTGCGTGTTGCGCGCCCTGTCGATGCGCATGAAAGCACACACGGATTTTCATTTTCTTCAAAAATTCATATCTTCTTCATACGAACTTCGTTTTCGATATTCTTTATATTCATGCGTAGCTATCGATGAGATATACAACTTTCGTTTAGACTCCGTCGGCTAATTCTCATTTTATTTTAAAGCTATATTTTTAACAGACTTAGACCGTTAAAGTCCGCATAAAAATCATAACTTTTTCATACGATATCCATTCTCGACTGTCTTTATATCGACGGATAGGTATTGACGAGATCTTCCACTCTCGTTTAGATTGTTTTTCCTAACAATTGACCGATTTCAGTTTCAGTTTCTAAGTCGTATACTGCTACGCTGAAACTTCGAAAAATCATAACTTCCTCAGAAGTCAAATTTGGGCATTCCCTATATGAACGCTCTCGGTTTTACGATTTCTACGACTCTTACTTAGATTATTTATCTTAAATAATCTCTATCAAAGTATCTGTTTTATCATCGAGACAAATAATTATCCTATTATTCTTTAATCGTTTAGTCCTATCTTGCGGGCGTTACAGACTAAGACTAATACATAGGGAAGATTAAAATAATTATTAGAAATGGTACGGAGGATATCTAAGTTACTGTGGAGACGATCTGTATCGTGTGTGTCCATGAACCATCTTGCAATTCTGGATCGCTTAAAATCATGGAGCTAAACATTTGTGGTAATGAGGTAGGTTGTTATTGACGCTGAATTGGGCCAAGTCTAGTTCTATCCATGATCAGCAGGAGTAGCGAAGTAGGCTTGAGGTCTGGTGGGTTGATCTTGGTTGGCAGATGAAGGCCCACGTTGCTATTAGGCACGTTGCTATTAGGCTGTTGTGGGCTAAGGAGAAGACCACGATGGGTTTGTTGAGGCATGCACCACCCATATGGGCCAGACCATCCATATCCCCACAAGGATTGGGATAGGGTTCCATATAACCACGACTTCACGTGGGATTCGATCTAGTCCCATAACTCATCTTTGAGGTGGTCTTTTTAAGTGGAGGCATGCTACACCATAGCCGACACGATGGGTGTACAGTTCACACCACGGTACATAGTTTAGACGGTCGAGATTAAGGGTTAAGGGAACTGTAGATCATATGTTTGTGATGCCATAAGGTTTTTTAGAGGAAGGAGGAGTAGGTGTCGATGATCTAGTCATGGTGGAAGGGGAGAACAACTAGGGTTACAATCGAAGGAAGAGAAAAGAAAGAAGGGGGATGAGCTAAACCAAAAGACTAATACAATAAATACAATGGTCTTTGAAGGACAAGGTATGTGTAGGCTATACAAGACCATGGGTCTGATACAAGACCATGGGTCTGATACAATAAATCTATACTAAATACGTAGTCTAACATTTTTGTGAAGCATCTAAATCTAAATCTTTATCTTATACATATACTCCAACCCCTTAAAAAGTTCTATTTGATTTGCATGGCATTGTCATTAATAGAGACGACCCTATAAACCTTATCATCAATAAAGACGACACAATAGACCTAATGGAAAGTACCGGTAAAGGATTATGTTGTGATGAAAAAACTGTTAAACATAACACCAATATGTTTCTACATACTTTTAAAGAGTTATTTACTATATATACAATGGTCTTTGAAGGACAAAACAACAATGATGTTGCATGCATGTTGGTTTTGGTATCATTGTGGTACATATTCACTACAACTATTGGCGGAAAAAAAAAACTAAAAATCATTTTGGTTTAGTTTGGAAAATATACATCTTAAAAGCAATCAACTTCATCAACATCTTTAAACGATTGTTTTTTCCCACGGTTAAAATCATATCTTATATTAGAAGTTATTAACCAACTAAACCAATATAAAATTTTATTATTTAAATTTTATAATTTTTTTTATCAATATTAAGATTTTTTTAAATATAAATAGCAAACAAAATGAACTTTCATTATTATTGTTATTTGTCATTTTTATAATAAATACTTACATTATTTTGATTTAAACAAAAAAATATGAAATTTGATGTATTATATTATTTAAAAAAATAAATAAAAACTTTCTTACAAATAAATAACAACTTCATTTGGTTACAATAAAGTCCCGATGAACTCAAACTAACCAAGTTCCTAGTTCAAATTTAAAGACCAAAATCTTGGGCACATCCCAAACTGAGAGCAGCTGAACACCATAACAAAAGAACTATCAACTAAATGAGCTCAAGCTTTCGAAAATGAAAAGGATAAAGTAAACACACTTTTCTATTTCAATATTTATATGTGACAATAAGTGAACTAGGAAACAAAAAAACATAAATAATAAAATTACAATGTCTTAATAGGTGCGATTATGAAAATATAATGTTTTTTTATTATCCGATTAGACATTTTGAATGTATATTAAGTTTGTATCATCATAAATGTTCATTTCGTTTTTTTTTTTTTTTTTTTTTTTTTTATATTTGAAGGTGCTGTTGACTAATGTTCATTTAGTTATTTTATAAAAAAAAAAAAAACAAATTAATAATCGAACACGTGATTGGTATGGCAACTTTACAAATAAATGTGGCAGATTATGTGAGTTTGATGATAACCCGTGATGACAATGTAGTTAGACAATGTTACAATAAGATTAAAATCGAGTGAAAATATTAAGACAATCAATACATGTATTAACCTCATAAAAACCAAAAACACTCTCATATCCACTCTCATCATCGCTCAAAACTTGATCCCAAATCTGAAAAATGTGTGTTCCTTTCCTTGGTTACTCCTCTAATAAAAAGGGATAGAAGTGTGTGTTATTCCCCTCGCACTCGAAAATATTATAATTTTATGGATGTAAGCTTCTTTGAGAACCAAGCTTACTTTCCCAAATCAAATATTCAGGGGGAGAGCTCCAAAGAATATCCGATTTGGGATTTCCATCATGATCTAGAAAATCAGCCAACCTTTGTTCCCATAAATGAATCACAAAACAACTCTCATGTCCAAAACACTGAATTGCAACATGATCTTTCACCATAGGGGTCGAATATGCCTGGTCAAAATCCAAAAACTGGTTCAACCCCTGAGCTTCGTGTTTACAGAAGGAGACAAACTGAGAAATCAAAAGAACCTCAGCATGTTCAACAAGAACCAGTCCCCACCGATTATGATATTTACAAAGGTATGGATTCTACTCAAGCTCCAATTATTGATGATTTAGATGTTGTGCCAATAGCTCACAGGAAAGGAGTCCGTGGGTGTACTAATCATCCAATTGAGAAATATTTAGATTAGTCACAGGATATTGCTCCTATGTTTGGGGGAATCTTGTTACTTGGGGGAGCAAGAAGCAAGCTGTTGTTTCCCATAGCAGTGCTGAATTCGTGACAGAAACTACAGAGCAACAAAAAGACATGTATCAAAACCAAACAAACAAACAGAGAGAAGAAGAAGAAGAAAAAAAAAAAGAGCTATATTTTCTATTCTTCAAATAAGAGATGAACCCCCTAACTCTTCATAAGAATGAAAGTAACATGCTATTTTTGTCATAACAACGAAAGTAGCATGTTATTTTTGTTTTAAAAATGAAAGTGGCATGCTATTTTTGTCATAACAATAAAAACAGCATGTTATTTTTGTTTATTGATGGAAGTAGCATGCTATTTTTGTCACAAAAAAGAGAGTAGTTAAAATTGAAAGAAACAAAAAACAGCCATCACTGAATCAATATTTTCTACTAAAAAAACAACATATACACAAACAGCCAGATATGGTCGATTTTCACTGTGGATTTGGTCCCCGTTCAAAGTGAAAAGACTATTTTGTCCCTTTTATTTACTTTTTGCATGCATTTATTTTTAATATTGATTTACAATTTATTAAATTATAGAAAAAAGAAATACATTAACAGCCAGACTCTTATTTTCTATCTACTGTCGGTGCACCAAAATCAATGATGCTTACAAATTCAAAATACAATGTCGTAATAGGAAAAAAAAAAAAAAAAAAACAAAGGGAAAAATATACTAAGAGGTTAGATTATATTAAATACTATGTTATAAGAAAAAAGTTGAATTCAGTTATAACATACAAACTTATGACGCAATTGCAAAAGGCTTTTTTATTATCAACCCTATTAGACATTTTGCATGTATATTTGTATATTAATATTAAGTAATCAGCAAAGTAGAGTTTGGTTTCTTACCTTGGCTCCGTATAGATGAAGGTGTTCACTTAGATAGTGTGTCCATAACCTTATTGTTATATCGTATTCGAATTCCCTGAAAGCATGTGATAAATTTTAACTAATGTCGTATTTTGCGAGGGTAGAAGAGTAAATTTACTTGCCTTTTGAATTGGATCAGAATCCAGCGGAATCAGAAGAAGTAATTCAAGCAGTCGCTTTGTTTGAACCTGTTGTGTAATGAATGGGATGTTGAGTAGTTCCACCAGCTTCCATATCAAAACAATAATAGACATGTTAGAAACCGCATCAAAGAAATGGAATCGTGGATTCCGGCAGAGAAGTTGGAATTCGAGATTTCATTTCATAAAGTGTTTGGTTTGACAGTTTGGATGGATTTTAATTCTGACAGATTTCTTGAAATTTAATCTTTGATAATCACAGCTAAGAATTGGAATTCGTAATGGTGCATTTGGTTGAAAATTAGGACGGAATTCAATTCCGTCAAATTGCTACGAGTTTCATATTTGATGGACTTCAACCACATTCATAGGGGCAGGAGGAAGGATTTCGGTTTCATTCTTCCTTTTTTATTAAATGACCAAAATACCCTTGTTATATATTAAGATAGAGGGAGGACCTTTAATAGTGCATGCCATTTTGATCACGGTTGAAATTTGGACCTAATCTTTCCATTAAAGAAACAGAACACCAGAAAGCTTATGATTCATCTTTCATGATGAATAATATTGGACAGCATGTCCTGTGAGAAAAAAATTGTTTGTTTCAAATATTAGCAAAATATTGTGTGTATAATTGAAAAACACAAATAAATTAACAATCAAACTTAATTTCGTTGCAAGGTTTGTCCCATTTTTTTAAAAAAAAAAGTTGACTGATTAGTTTTAAGTAAAAAGGAGCGAATAGTAGACCTGAAATTAGTAGATCACATTTAAAAAAATCATAAATATACATACAAGATGTGGGCTTCTAAATAAACTCAGTGTAAAGCAACATGAACTGATGATCAAGTAACATACTACTATCTGTTATTACTTATAATCTCCTTTTATGTATCCATAAATTCCAGTTAGTGAAAAGAATAGCATGCAAATTTTAACTAATAAACCACAATTACATAAATTCCAGTTAGTACAAAGCCCGAGTTCATTAACCTCTTGAAACCAATTGCATATTTACCAAAGGAACCAGTTCTTTAAACGCATCAGCCACTGGTTGATTTGTTTATTATAGAATTCTGCTTTTGTTTTTTCTATTATTACATTTTAGGCACTGGTCCATGTTACAATATTAAAAGATTTCAACAACTAAACATACTGAGAGAGAGAGAGAGAGGACATTGTTCTCATTTCATTACTGAGCAACCAAAGCACCTGAAAACTGATATTTTTGGACAAATTTACCCTTGATGATCAACAACATTATATTAGTATAGTGGCCATTACTTACAGGAATCAACATACCTTTGATCAGAGCTTGTAGCTACAAGAATATCAGGAAGCTATACGGTTGAAGGATAAGTTTCCCTATTGGAAACTATCAGACTGAATATGATCAAAAACTATAAACAAATGGAATGAAATAGATTTAAAGAACCAAAGAAGATAAATTTGTGTGTATGTTGTTTTTCACCTTGGTTGCTTCTGAAACAGAATGAACCCTAATTAACTTCAAATTAAGTGCATCAGTGTAGATATATGGTGATAAAATGTACTTCAAATATTGTAAAATAATATATGTAGCAACCAAGGGTATCTACACATAAAATCAAACATGGGTTTCTCAAATCTTATGCTTTGACAAAATACTAACTGATTTTGAAATCAACAAAAGTCAAAGTTTTGGGGTTATGTTATTGACTGAAATTTTTGCAGATTTTTTCATCATTGTAGAAAAAGACAGACCCTTTGTGATACTTGCTCGAAATGCTAGAAAAAACCCATCCAAACATGGTGAGATTGCACAAAGCCTTGAAAGAAATTGATTAAAAAGAATAAATAAGAAATGTGATACATGGATATGAAAAAAGAGAAGAAAAAGAAGTATTTATTGGTCTGATTTGACCATAGGAACAGTTACCAACAATACATTTGGTAAATGTTAAAAGACAGAATGCTGACAGAATCTGAAAATACATTCTCAAACAACCAACAAAACCCATACAAACACGCAAAACATTATCAAATGATCAACAAAATCCCAGTTAGAAAGAGAGAGATTCAGAAATTTTTTCTCATTCATAGCAAGTTATATAGCTAAAAATGGGTAGATTATTCAAAGTATAATGTCATTAAAAGGAAAAAAATAAATTGGAAGTACAGTGCTAAAATTGGGTAGAGTTTTCAAAGAATAATGCCCTAATAAAAAAAAGATATAAAAGTGCAATGCTATAATTGGGTAGAAATCTAAAAGTATAAGGACCTAATAACAAAATAGTTAAAAGTAGGATGCTATAATTGGGTAAATTTTCAAAGTGCAATGTCTTGATAAGAAAAAGCTGAAAGAACAATACTGCAATAAAAAAAATGAAACTAGGATGCTATAAAACACAAAGGAATGAATGAAGGTTGTTATTTATTGCAATTAGCCCTAAAAATAACTTACACTTTAAGAAAATCCAGGAGACAAGGGAGATGGCCAAGTTTGTCTTTTATTTTGTTAAATACTAAACAGTCCCACATAGGATATGCATTCTTGCCTGAAAGTTAATATCACACAGATTGTATCCCTTAAAGTATTGAAGAAAGTTTTGTAAAATGTTACCTTTAAGTTATTAGCACCATCAAATCAGTAATCAAAATGGCAGAAATCATGAAAGATTGACTCGTGTTGTTGGAGATGTTTAAGTCTGTTATCATGATAACAAGACAGAGTTAGCAAAAAGTGGAACACTAAATTGTGATTCAACGAAAGGACTTGAAGTTACCTGAATAATAAGTTTTCCATATATTCAACATCTTTTTTTGATTGATTCAACATGAAGTATGTTAATCCCATCAAGATAATGAATAGACACAGGTTTTAGAAATAGGGGGGTATTTCTGGAAATACACAAACAGGGTCATACACTTATAGCTATAATTACATGTACTTTCCTGCATATCGTTTCCATGCTTTTTCAGCTTGCAATCAGTGGATAGAAGGTGGTAATTTGATAAACCAATTCCATTATAACCCAACACAACACCCTTATTTGAGATTCAATGGAGCTAAAAGTGTACCTTTAAACATCAACAAAAAAACTAAATAAGAACATAAAAATCATCAAGTGTTTTTATAGTGTTAAGGGTAAAAACATACACCTTGATTCTCGGGGCATCCTATTTTCCTATTCTCCACCGTAAGTAAAAGGGAACTTGTGGTGCACAGAAGATTTTTAAAATGAATGGAATTTGTCAAAGGAATTGGAATCTGTGAAAAGAATTGAAGTGAAAAGTGAAAACTATGTTAAAAGACCAAAACACCCTTTAGTGATTTTTTTCTAATTAAATATTAGAATTGCTATTTACTGAAAAAAGAATTTTATTTTAAAACAAATACTAAACATTAAAATAAAGTAATACGACATTAAAAAGGACTTATGAAGGCAAATAAACAGTTAATAAAACAGTAATTAATCTTTTTAATGAAGAAATAAATAATGGAATTTCAATTCTTTCCTAGGAATGATAAAGTCCTATGAATACAGATTTTAGGGAAATTTGATGGAATCCATTTCCAATCCATTTTGTCAACCAAATTTGTAACTGAAGGAATTTTTATTCTAATTTCTTCAAAATTCTATGAAAGAACAAGCAATAATGCACTTTAAAAACTTACATGTAACATGATGATCAAAGGCTTCATGGTCTGAAAAGAATACAACACCATGTAAATAAAAATGAAAATTATGCTAAATGACCAAAGGAATTAAAATGACAAAATGGATTGCAAATAATATTTATTTAGATTGCAAATCTATCAAAAGAATTAAAAATGAAAATTATGCTAAATGACCAAAACACCCTTTAGTGATTCCTGTATATAAATTGATAAGATTGCTATTTACTGAAAAAAGATTTTATTTATGAAACAATTAAAAAACATTAATTATATAAACATCAAACATGCATACTCTGATTTCATAAACATTTAAAAAAAAAGTAACATGACATTAAAAATGACTCATGAAGAAAAATAAATAGATAATAATACGATAATTACTTATAAATATCTACAATTATGGAGTTGTAAATTAGGATAAATTAGGGGTGAGAATATAAAGAAGGTTCAAGATTGAGAAAATAATAATATTTGGCTCTAAGGACAAATTTAGTCTTTTTAATGAAGAAATAAATAATGGGATTTCAAATCTTCCCTAGGAATGATCAAATCCTTTGAATACAGATTTTGGGGGAATTTGATGGAATCCATTTCCCATCCATTTTGTCAATCAAATTTGTAACTGAAGGGATCTCCCATTCCAATTCCTTCAAATTTCTATGTAATCCATGAACCAAATAGAAAAGGTAGGAAAGAAAAACAACATGTTGATTTAGAATACGTCTTTGTTGAGTAAACCTTTAACTGTTGCAATTAAGAAAAGTTAAACAGTTAATATTTACAGATAGTTATACTATTAAATAGCCTTGAAATAAAATTATTTATTTTTTCAGAAAAAACCTCATCCACATCCTCTTTGTTGAGTAAACGGCTAAAATGCAGACCAAGAAAAGCATTAGACATCTGTCAAAAAGTCAAAAGTCATTCAATAAAAGGGTTATATGCCCTAAATAAGGAACATAACACAATCGGATATAAGTTTTTTTTTCCAAAATCAGTTGGACATGCTAAATATCAAACCCCTCAGATGTAGTAAGAAGGACTTAAAGTAAAGATTGAAGAACCAATTTGATAGAATTCTCATTTTCTTTGCACTTTACAAAAACAGAGCAAAATGTATTTGGTTCCTATGCCATTTGTTCCATTTTAGAATATATGTAATATTTTATGGCATGCCAAATACCATAAAGGAATTGTACTAATGTCCATTTAAAATCATAAAGTTGCATTTTGTAGTGTTTAAAATCGTTAATTGCTACCAAAAGAACTTACCATTTTGATCAACTTCTTTCAGCTTCTCCTTAATCTGCTTTTACAACCGAAGAATCTCATGTATCTGCACATTTAACAAATATTAGAAAGGTAAATTTATATGAACATATATAAAAAGGAATAATTTCCACATAAGATAAGAAAAGATTCAATTTTGGTAGACTTGAAAAGCAAAAAAAGCATAAGTGAATAAGAAATAAAAACCTTTGTAACAACATCATCTGGTTTTGGTGGACAAAAAGGGTGATGGTTGTTAAAATTTAAACTCTTACAACTGTGTGTAACTTTTACACAATATAATTATGTAAAAAAAAAACTTACAGATGGGTATAGTTTCTATAGGTGATGGCTCTATGCATCAGTAATAACTGCTCCTCTGTCACCTACTTGAATGAATAAAAAACATTTCTCAGAAAAAACTCAAGCTTTTAAATCATACAACAAACACTAAACAGACAAATTTATACATCAACATTTATAAATCAGCATATTGTAAAATGTGATGAATATTGTGAACATGTAAACAGATAAATTAATTTATACCTCAACATTTGCTTGTCCAACATCTGATGCAATTTGAACTTGTGTAGTACCCTGTATGTAGGGTTGAAATGTATCATTAGTTTCTTTGTAGTATTATATTCAAAAGACTGATTTCAATTCAAAAATTAAACAATAAAGACAGTTTTTTTAATGAATTAGTGGACTACAACAAGCTCTAAACATTCTTTTGGGGATAAATGCAACAAAGCTTCATCTTTTTCGTATCATCTACATATCACACAATGAGATTCAGAAACAGAGAGAACATAACACATACAAAAAAACAGGATATGCTGTTTTGACCTAACAAACAACTTGTGTTCTTTAATCTTTGGAATCTAGAAAATAGGAAGAGAGGTGATGACATAAACAAGCCCACAAAAAAATCACAACACCTCTTGGAGGTATCCTCATTTGATTAAGATTTAATCTCTAAAATCCTGCAGTAATAAAGAAAATTACAAACATAAGTCCACATATTTTTGTAGCAGAGACAATCAAAAACTCTTTCAGATATGCAAATTATATAGTAGTTGGTTGACAATCAACAAGCCAAATTCATCCTAACTCAATAAGTTGTTTAGGTTGCGTTTAGTTATTTTCATTTTCCGTTTTTCGTTTTCCCTTTTCAGTTTTCGTTTTCCGTTTTCGGTTTTCATTGGAAAATTTAGAAAACGCGTTTAGTTAAAACTTATTCATTTTTCATTTTCAGTTTTAGAAAATTAGAAAACGTGTTTAGATGTGTATTTTTCTATCGGTTTTCAACAGACAAACTAAATAAGAGGATAAAAATCATCAAGTGATTTATAGTGTTAAGGGTAAAAACATACACCTTGATTCTCAGGGGCATCTTCTTTTCTTTTTTTCCACCATAAGTTGTTTATTTGGTTTCTAAAACCTTTTCTTGTTGCAGAGTAATGAATGGAATCTGTCAAAGGAATTGGAACTAAGAAAAGCAAGTAAAGGGAACTTGTGGTGCACAGAAGATTTTTAAAATGAATGGAATTTGTCAAAGGAATTGGAATCTGTGAAAAGAATTGAAGTGAAAAGTGAAAACTATGTTAAAAGACCAAAACACCCTTTAGTGATTTTTTTCTAATTAAATATTAGAATTGCTATTTACTGAAAAAAGAATTTTATTTTTAAAACAAATACTAAACATTAAAAAAAAGTAATACGCCATTAAAAAGGACTTATTTAGGCAAATAAACAGATACTAAAACAATAATTAATCTTTTTAATGAATAAATAAATAATGGAATTTCGATTCTTCCCTAGGAATGATAAAATCCTATGAATACAGATTTTGGGGAAATTTGATGGAATCCATTTTGTCAACCAAATTTGTAACTGAAGGAATTTCTATATTCCAATTTCTTTAAAATTCTATGGAAGAATGAGCAATAATGCACTTTAAAAACTTACATGTAACATGATGATCAAAGGCTTCATGGTCTGAAAAGAATACAACGCCACGTAAATAAATAATTTAAAAATGACAAAATTTAAACTCTTAGAACTGTGTGTAACTTTCACACAGTATAATTAAGTGAAAAACTTACAGATAACCTCTTTTAGCCTTTCCTTAGTCACCTGCTAAACAGAAACAAAATACACTTCTATTTCTAATTGAGTTAAAAATATAAACAATAAATTATCTTTCCCTAATTGAATCTCTGATAGATCAATAAGTTGTTTAATATTTTAATTTGGCTTGTGATTATGTACTTATCTCTACCTAATTTAATGCAATAACATGTTTCACCCTCAAAACAAAACAAAACAACTCTTTAACTTAATCAAGACATTTCATCAAACACCTAAAGTGCACAGACAAACAATCTACAACTAAACAAAACTATTTTGGGTTTTCAAAACTATTAAAGTTTTACTAGCAACACATCACCACTTGCTTGAACAATCATCTTCATCCTTAAAGTATTTTATACAAAGCGGTAAAAGTACATTGTTAATTCCCACAATTTTCCTTAAAAAATTAACATACATTTTGAGGCTAGCTGTTATCTTAACCAACTCAAATGATATCCATCATCTGATTATTCTCATATGCAACATTTTTATTCACAAAACAGAAATGATTATTACCTCTTTCTATTGACCAATTGTTTTAAACATTTCAACCCACCAAAGACCACACCATGTAGCATTTCCCTTCTATGATTTCCCAATTCGCTACATAAAAAGTACACTTTTTAAATAAATTAAACAATTGACTAAATAAAAAAGATCTTTTGTAAAAAATTACCAGGCATACTAAATAAGTGCTTAAGGCGTTTTCCATGCAATATTCAACATCTTTTTTTATTGATTTAACATGAAGTATGTTTATCCCATCATTTCCTGAAGATAATAAATAAGCACAGGTTTTAGGAACAGAGGGGTATTTCTGGAAACACATAAACAGTAATTAATCTTTTTAATGCAGAAATAAATAATGGAATTTCAAATTTTCCCTAGGAATGATAAAATCCTTTGAATACAGATTTTGTTAATATTTACAGATAGTTATACTATTAAATGGCTTTAAAATAAAATTGTTTTTTTTTTTTCAGAAAGAACCTCATCCACATCCTCTGACCAGGAAAAGCATTAGATTTATGTTCTCCAAAACCCAAACAATGGAAAGCTTCACTTAGATATGAATTTCACATCAATAACTTTTATACTAAGTGAACTTTTAACATAAAAAATAGATTGAAGCATTTTCTATCAAGTCAATCAAAGATATAGACACAAATCAAACATCTTTATCCAGATAGCACTTTATCAGTGCAACACCTGATGAAAAAGAAAAAGGGGTTATGTGCCTTATATAAGGAACAACACACAATCTGATATAAGTTTTTTTTCCTCTCTGTGGCATATCGATTTAGATGAATTTAAAGTATGGAAAGCTAAAAGGCCCCCCTTGTGCTGAAGATATTTTTTTTTAAATCAGTTGTTACTGAGATGTTTAAGTCTGTTATTGAGAGAACAAAGACAGAGTTAACGAAAGCCAACACTAAATTATGATTCAACAAAAAGGAGTTGAAGTTACCTGAATAATAATTTGTGAAAATGATACAGTCTTAGCCCCAGTTGCTGATGGCATTAGCTCATCTAGCCCTCCAACAACATATATTACCAGTCAAAATGAGTTGTTGAGGGTTGTAGCATCATTTCAGTAAAGAATCTTAAAACAAATGATTAACCATCATACCACTATCACAAGGAATCTCTATCATAGCATTCAACTTTTAGCTCTTTTCTTATTAGGACATTATACTTTGTAAAATTAGCAGTGAAAATTGCTTACCATAGAGGGGGAACCATATGGACAAAAATGGAAGTAGCATGCTATTTTTGTCATAGCAATGAAAATAGAAAAAAAAAATTACAACATAAAAAGCATCAAGTGTTTTATAGTGTTAAGGGTAACAACAAACATGTTTTATAGCAATTAATGTCGTACTAGTGTAAGGGAACTTGTGGTTCAAAGAATACTTTTAAAATGAATGGAATTGGAATCTGCCATGTGCATGGTTGACAGGAAAGGGAAAGGAGTCGATTCCATTCATTTGTTGTTTTGTGTTTAGTTTGCAAATCTATCAAAATAATTGAAGTGAAAATTATGTTAAATGACCGAAACACCCTTTAGTGAATTTTTTTAATAAAATAATAGAATTACTATTTACTGAAAAAAGATTTTATTTACGAAACAGTTACTAAACATCAAAATAAAGTAATATGACATTTAAAGCAACTTATGAAGAAAAATAATAATTAATAATACAATAATTAACTATAAATATCTACATTTATAGAGTTGTATATTGGGGCGCAAGATTCGAAAAATAATATTTGGTTTGTAACTTGTAAATATGAATTTAGTCTTTTTAACGAAGAATTAAATAATAGAATTTTGATTCTTCCATTTTATCAAACAAATCTTTTGAATACAGATTTTAGGGGAATTTGATGGAATACATTTTGTCAACCAAATTTGTAACTGAAGGAATCTCCATTCCAATTCCTTCAAAATTCTATGGAATCCATGAACCAAACACGTCCTAAGTTGCTCTTAGGATTAAAATAGAAAAAACATATGAAAGAAAAACAACATGCTGATTTAGAGTATTATTCATTTTTCCATGTTAGCAGTAATATCTTTGGATGATGAATAATCTATCACGAACAAAATCCTTCAACAGTTGCAACTGAGAGGAGTCAAAGAGTTTATTATTATCAATAGATATAATATTATGCACTCTTAAATTAAATTATTCTTTTTTTGTTTTCAGAAAGAACCTCATCCACATCCTCTTTTGTTGGGTAAAGGGTAAAAAAATCCAAGTCATTCAAGTTTTACTTAATGAAAAGATGGAAACAAAACTGTATCACATGAAAAGCACTTACATAAAACTCCCATGGATTTGGTTCATGATCAACAGCCCCATCTTCCAAGTGTTGTTTCTCATTCCTGCACATTCACTATAATTAAAGCCATGTAATTTAAATGGGATAATAAGCAATAATGCACTTTAAAAACTAACATGATACATCAATTGAAAAGAATACAACACGTAAACAAATAATTTAAAAATGACAAAATTTAAACTCGTAGAACTGTGTAACTATCACACAGTATAATTAAGTGAAAATTTTACATATAACCTCTTTTAGCCTTTCCTCTGTCACCTACTTGAATGAAAAAAAAAACATTTCTTAGAAAAAACTAACACTTGACTACATGGATAAATTAGCTAGAAAGTAGATTGCTATTTGACTTGTACATGAATACAAACACAACTTCATCTTTTTCGTATCACACAATGAGATTTAATCTCAGACATAGTAAGAGAGGATAAGACATAAACAAGCTCACAAAAAAACACAACACCTCTTGGAAGTGCTTAAGATCCAAGTATTTTTCCTTACTATACCCCCCAAAAATCAAATTTCAATCTCTAAAAACTTGCAGTAGGAAAGAAAATTACAAACATAAGTTCACATATTTTTGTAGCAATGACAATCAAATGTTGTTTCAAATATGCAAATTATACAGTTGTTGGTTGACAATCAACACACCAAATTCATCCTAACTCAACTAAACAGAAACAGACAACTTTATATGCAACTTTTAGTTAGAACCAAAATACACTTCTATGTCGAATTGAGTTAAGAATACAAACAATAAATAATCTTTTCTTATTTCAATAAGTTGTTTAATATTTTAATTTGGCTTGTGATTATGTACTTCTCGCTACCTAATTTAATCCAATAACATTTTCATCCTCAAAACAAAGCAAAACAACTCTTTAACTTAATCAACACATTTCATCAAACACCTAAAGTGCATACAAGAACAATATTTTTTTGGGTTTTCGAAACTTTTGAAGTTTTACTAACAACACATCACCACTTGCTTGAACATTCATCTTTTTTTTATTTGTTCAACATGAAGTATGTTTATTCCATCATTTCCTGAAGATAATATATAAGCACAAGTTTTAGGAATAGAGGGGTATTTCTGGAAAAACACAAACAGGGTCATAGACTCATAGATATAGCTACATGTACACCTGCATGGCTATGAATATCCACAATTATGGAGTTGTATATTAGGATAAAGTAGGGATGAGAATAAACAAGGCACAAGATTCGAACAATAATATTTGGGTTTTAGGTATAAGTTTAGGTGCAACACTTATTGAAAAAACAAAGGTTAGAGGATCAATACAGTAGATTATAATTTCAAAATATAATGTCTTAATTGGGAAAAAATTAGAAGTCTAATGTTATATTTGGTAACCATGGCTAAACAAGTTTAGATTTTAGAAGTAGAATGTAAAAAAAACTACAATGCCTTAAAAGGATAGATTCTGAAAATATAATATCAACATGCTCTCATTGATTTGTTTACTGTAGAATTCTACTTTTGTTTTTTTCCCTATTACATTGTAGTCACTTTTCCATGTTACAATATTAAAAGATTCTCAAAAACTAAGAATAATGACCTATTGACAAATAAGAGCATGAAAACCGAATAACAACATGATTTATGAAAATTTAACTAAGAACTTTGTAAAGATTCTCAAAAGCTAAAAATAATGCCCTATTTAACTAAGAACCCAGTTTTAGCAATGCCATAAGCGATTTCACTGCTTAATTAGGTATGTAATGCTTACTTTATGGCATGCCAAATATCATAAAGGAATAATTGTAATATTGTCTAGTTAAAATTATAAAGTTGCATTTTAAACTGTTTAAAATTGTTAATTGCTACCAAAAGAATTTACCATTTCAAATAACTTCTTTCTGCTTCTCCTTAATCTGCTTTGACAACCAAAGAATTTCAGGTGTCTGCACCTTTAACAAATCCGAATATTAAAAAGATAAACTGATATGAACATGCATAAGGGAAAATTAAGTAAGTTCAATCCACCTGTGTAACTTGTGATATAGAGATAGCAATAGCTGCTTTAAAGTATGGAAAGCTAAAAGGCCCTCCTTGTGCTGAAGAAATTTTTGTAAATAGTTACCATTAAGTAATGCTTCCCTCTTAGCATTAAACAGTCTTTTCTTTCAGAAAACCAGATGACTTCGCTGCAATAAACAACACCTAACTGAGTCTCAATAAGACTAACTGAATGAAAATACAGTGGAAAACTACAGATCTCAATTCCGCCATGTATGACATATTGTAGCAACAAACATCATCTGGTTTTGGTGGAAGAAAAGAAAAAGAAAAGGGTGAAGGTTGGGTTTTTTACTTCCCTAAAAAGCACCAATTCTTATCTTATGGCAGAAATCATGAAAGACTAACTCATATTATAGGAGATGTTTAAGTCTGTTATTATGAGAACAAATACAGAGTTAGCGAAAGTCAAACACTAAATTGTGATTCAACAAAAGAACTTGAAGTTACCTGAATAATTAATTTTGAAAATGATACAGCCTTAGCCCCAGTTGCTGATGGAAGAGATGGCATTAGCTCATCTAGCCCTCCAACAATCTATAATATTACCAGTTAGTTAATATGAGTTGTTGAGGGTTGTAAAGAATCTTGAAACAAATGATTAATTATCACACCGCTTTGTAAAATCAGCAGTGAAAATTGTTGGATCAAAATCAACCTAAGCAACATTGTCATAACTATGAAAGTAGCATGCTCCTTTTGTCCTAACAATGAAAGTATCATACGCTAATTTCTCCTAACAATGGAAGTAGCATGCTATTTTTGTCATAACAATCAAAGTAGCATGAGGGTAAATTATTCCAATTAAAAAAAAGTAGTTAATGATTGGAGAATGTTTCTTATTTAATAAAGTTAGTGGAAATCTCATTTAGCAAAACAAAATGGTTATCGACCTTTTCACCCATCACTCCTACTTTCCAGCCAAAGCTCTGATATTTTTGGACAAATTTACCCTTGATGATCAACAACATTGTATTAGTATAGTGGCCATTACTTACAGGAATCAATATACCTTTGATCACAGCTTGTAGCTACAAGAATATGAGGAAGCTATATATAGAGCTGATGGAAATGTCCCCCTTTGGAAACTATAAGACTGAATATGATCAAAAAGTTTGGAATGAAACAGATTTGAAGAACCAAAGAACATAAATTTGTGTGTATGTTGTTTTTCACCTTGGTTGCTTCTGAAACAGAATGAACCCTCATTAATTTCAAATTATTTTGAATTTAAGCGCATTAGTGTAGATATCTAGTGATAAAATGTACTTAAAATCTTGAAAAATAATACATGTAGTGACCAAGGGTAGATATCTACACATGAAATCAAGCATGGGTTTCTCAAATCTTATGCTTTGACAAAATAAAAACTGATTTTGAAATCAACAAAGTCAAAATTTTGGGGTTATGTTATTTGATTCAAGTGAAATTTTTGAAGATTTTTTCATCATTCCATGTAATAATTAACCTCACATCACAGTGTGAGAATCCACAAAGCCCTGAAAGAAATTGATTAAAAAGAATAAATAAGAAATGTGATGACACATGGATATGTTAAAGAGAAGAAAAACAAGTATTGGTCTGATTTGACCTTAGAAACAGTTACTCAACGTTTGGTAAATGTTAAAATACAAAAATGCTGACAGAATTTGAAATAAGAAAAGAAAAATTGGAAGTGCAATGTTATAACTGGGTAGAGTTTTCAAAGCATAATGAATGCCCTAATAAGAAAAACAGATGAAAGTACAATGCTATAATTGGGTAGACATCTAAAAATATAAGGACCTAATAAAAAGACCACACACCATGTGGCATTTCCCTTCCCTGATGTCCCAATTCCCTAATAAAAAGTACACTTTTTACATAAATAAAAAAAATTGACTAAATAACAAATATCTTTTGTAAAGAATTACCACACGTACTAATTAACCTCATCCACATCCTCTTTTGTTGAAGAGTAAAGGGTCAAAAAATCCAAATCAATCAAGTTTTACTTAATGAAAAGATGGAAACAAATAGTATCACATGAAATGCACTTACACATAACTCCCATGGATTTGGTTCATGATCAACATTCATTATAATTAAATCCATGTAATTTAAATGGGAGAATGAGCAATAATGCACTTTAAAAATTTACATGTAACATATGATGATCAAAGGCTTCATGGTCTGAAAAGAATACACCACGTAAATAAATAAATAATGCACTTTATGCACCCCAAAAATCAAATTTAATCCTCTATAATCTTGCAGAAACAAAATTACAAACATAAGTTCACATATTTTTGTAGCAATGACAATCAAAAACTTTTTCAAATATGCAAAAATATACAGTAGTTGGTAGACTATCAACACAACAAATTCATCCTAACTTAACAAAACAGAAAATGCACAACTTTATCTACAACTTTTAGTTATAACCAAAATACACTTTCATTTCTTTCTATTTGAGTTAAAAATACAAACATTAAATAATCTTTTCCAATTTGAATCTCTAATATCTCAATAAGTTGTTTAATATTTTAATTTGGCTTGTGATTATGTACTTCTCGCTACCTAATTTAATCCAATAACATTTTCACCCTCAAAACAAAGCAAAACAACTCTTTAACTTAATCAAGACATTTCATCAAACACCTAAAGTGCACACAAGAACAATCTACAACTAAACAATAACATGAAAACTAAATAAGAACATAAAAAGCATGAAGGGTTTTATAGTGTTAAGGGTAAAAGCATACACTTTGATTCTCAGGGGCATCTTCTTTTCCTTTTCTCCACCATAACTTCTTTATTTGGTTTCTAAAACCTTTTCTTGTTGCAGAATAATGAATGGAATCTGTCAAAAGAAATGGAATCCATCATGTATATGGTTGACACCAAATGAAAAGGATTTCAATTCCATTCATTTGTTGTTATTTATTTAGTTTGCAAATCTATCAAAAGAATTAAAGTGAAAATTATGTTAAATGACCAAAACACTCTTTAGTGATTTTTTTAATAAAATGATAGGATAGCTATTTACTGAAAAGATTTTATTTATGAAACACTAATTATATAAACATCAAACATGCATACTCTCATTTCAAAAACATTTAAAAAAAGTAATATGAAAAAAACAGTAATTACATAAAAAAGAAACAACAGTTTTGTCATGATGTAATTAAGTACAATAAAACTGAACTGATCCAAGGTGTTAAATCGAACAACTAACACTAAACAGATAAATTTATACCTCAACGTATTGTAGCATGTGATGAATGTTGTGAACATCTAAACAGATAAATTAATTTATACCTCAACATCTGGTTGTCCAACATCTGATGCAATTTGAACTTGTGTAGTACCCTGTATGTAGGGTTCAAGTGTATAATTAGTTTCAGAAGACTGATTTCAATTAAAAAATTAAACAATAAACATAAGAGTATTTTAAATGAATTACAGCAGAAGTGGGGGAGAAAGTCCCTTCTACTGGTTTGATGCAAGCTCTAAACATTCTTTTGGGGCTAAATGCAACAAAGCTTCATCTTTTTCGAATCATCTCACACAAAGAGATTCACAAACAAAGAGAACATAACACATACAAAAAAACAGGATACTCTCTGTTTTGACCTAACAAAGAAATTGTGTTCTTTAATCTTGGAATCTTGGAAATAGGAAGAAAGGTGATGACATAAACAAGCCCACAAAAAATCACAACACTTCTTGGAAGTATGCTCATTTGATTAAGATTTAAGCATTTGACCTTACGCCCCAAAAATCAAATTTCAATCTCTGAAATCCTGCAGTAAGAAAGAAAATAGCAAACATAAGACCACATATTTTTGTAGCATTGACAATCAATAAACTCTTTCAGATATATACAAACTATACAGTAGTTGGTTGACAATCAACATGCCAAATTTATCCTAAACTTGATTAAACAAAAACACACAACTTTCTAATTTATATGCAACTTTTAGTTACATCATTGCAACATCAACCCTTTCAAGAAAAGCATGCCACCAGTGTCCAAAGAGGGCAATAACGTAATTTCAACCAAATTGGCGTATTATATCAAACTTTAATAACACATTTACAATTAACTTACTATCCTATATGAAAAGAGAAATCAAATATCATCCTACATTTTCTTTCTACTTATCCTCCTACTCATTAGATCAAGACAAGTTTCAAAATCAAGAGAGGAGATTAAGAGAAAGAATTAGTGGTATCCAAATGTCATAATGTTATATGAGTAGGAGGATAAGTAGGATGACATTTAATTTTTCATATGAAAATGGACATGATCCCGAATATGACTCCATGTTGTTCCTACAAAAACAGAAAGTGCGTTTTATATGCACGACTCGCATGCTTTATCTTATACAAAAAAGCAAAACTTGTAAAAAGAACATAAACTTAGAAAGAAGAGTAAAATACACTGTTGGCCCCTGATTATAGCTAATTTATGAATTTGACTTGTAATACTTCTGGTCCCTGTTCCAAAAAAGTGACTATTTTTGGTCACCAAGAAAAGCTGATTTTTGCAATTTTCGTCCCAAAAAATTTGGAATTTTACTTAGAACAAGAATAAAAAACGTTACAAACCTCAAATAAGGACCACAACTGAAAAAATCAGCCACACTCAGGGACCAAAAATGTAATATTACTCTAAAAAGAAAGATGAATCATTCTTACATTGTTACTAAATTATTGTTACAGAATGCTTGATATTTGATAATGAAAATTATCTTGTAAGTACGAATAGTAAAACAAAACTATCTATTAAAGTATTTATATATGATCCAGTAACACAAATTGCCAACAGAAAGAATGAGAAGAAATCAATACCTTATTAATATAATTGGTTTGGCTAAAAGGTAACAAAAAAAAAAGCATCACATCCTGCAAAAAAAATGAAGTTTTTAAACAAAATTTTCATATATATACTTTCATTGACACATAAGAAATCATTATTATCTCACCAAAGATACAAAAGTAAACACCAGCCCCTCTTTACATTAACGACTTGCTTTTAACATTTCAGCCCCTCTTTTTAACATTTCCCTTCCCTGATGTCCCAATTCCCTAAATAAAAGCACATTTTTATTTTAAATAAATCAAAGAATTGACTAAATAAGTGCTGATGGAAGAGATGGCATTAGCTCATCCAGCCCTCCAACAATCTATAATATTACCAGTTAATATGAGTTGTTGAGGGTTGTAAAGAATCTTGAAACAAATGCTTAACCATCATACCACTATCAGAAAGAGAAGGAATCTCTTCTAATCATATCATTGAACTTTTTAACTCTTTTCTTATTTGGACATTATTATTATTATACTTTATAAAATCAGCAGTGAAAATTGCTTAACGTAGAGATAACATGGATCAATATCAATGAAAGTAGCATGCTATTTTGTCCTAACAATTAAATTATCATGCTAACTTTGTCATAAAAATGGAAGTAGCATGTTTTTTGTCATAACAATGAAAGTAGAATGCGTGTAAATTAGTCTAATTAAAAAAAATAGAAGTCGTCAATGATTGGAGAATGTTGAAGTTAACAGTTCTTGTTTAATAAAGTTAGTGAATATCTCATGTTTCAAAACAAAAAGGTTATCGACGTTTTCACCCATCACTCCTACTTTAAACAATAACATGAAAACTAAATAAGAACATAAAAAACATGAAGGGCTTTACAGTGTTAAGGGTAAAAACATACACTTTAATTCTCGGGGGCATCTTCTTTTCCAATTCTCCACCATAAGTTTTTTATTTGGTTTCTAAAACCTTTTCTTTTAGGAACAGAGGGGTATTTCTGGAAATACACAAAATGGGTCATACACTCATAGCTATAGCTACTTGTACACCTGCATATTGTTTCCATGCCTTGTTAGCTTGTAATCAGTGGATAGAAGGCGGTAATTTGATAAAACAATTTCAAAATAACCCAACACAACACCCTTATTTGAGATTCAATGGAAATAAAGTGTACCTTTAAACATCAACAGAAAAACAATATAAGAACATAAAAATCATCAAGTGTTTTATTGTGTTAAGGGTAGAAACATACACCTTGATTCTCAGGGGCATCTTGTTTTCCTTTTCTCCACCATAAGTTCTTTATTTGGTTTCTAAAGCTTTTTCTTGTTGAAGAGTAATGAATGGAATCTGTCAAAGGAATTGGAATTAAGAATATCAATAAATGTCATACTAATGTAAGAAAACTTGTGGTTCAAAGAATATTTTTAAAATGAATGGAATTTGTCAAAGGAATTGGAATCTGCCATGTGCATGGTTGACAGGAAATGGAAAGGAGTCGATTCCATTCATTTGTTGTTTTGTGTTTAGTTTGCAAATTTATCTAAATAATTGAAGTAAAAATTTATGTTAATTGACCGAAACACCCTTTAGTGATTTTTTTGAATAAAATAATAAAATTACTATTTACTGAAAAAAGATTTTATTTATGAAACAGTTACTAAACATCAAAAAGTAAAGTAGTATGACATTAAAATTGACTTATGAAGAAAAATAAATAATTAATCTTTTTAATAAAGAATAAATAATGGAATTCCGATTCCTCCCTAGGAATAATAAAATCCTTTGAATACAAATTTCGGGGGAATTTGATGGAATCTATCTCCCATCCATTTTGTCAACCAAATTTATAACTGAAGGAATTTCCATTCCAATTCCTTCAAAATTCTATGGAATCCATGAACCAAAAATGTCCTAAGTTACATGTAACATGATGATCAGAGGCTTCATGGTCTGAAAAGAATACGCCACATAAATAACCAATTTAAAATGACAAATTTATAACTGAAGGAATCTCCATTCCAATTCCTCCAACAACAATATACATTACCAGTCAATATGAGTTGTTGAAGGTTGTAGCATCATTTCAGTAAAGAATCTTGAAAGATAATATCACACAGTTTATATTTATTACAGTATGGAAGAAACAATTGGCATTTACTTACACATTTGATGGATACAACTTCATTTCAAGACTTCCACAAACAACATTTGCAATCAGGTTTCCATGGGAAAGTACTAAAGTCCCCTTACCATGTAGGAAAAGGAATAAGTGCAAAGAAAAGATTCAAATTTTGTAGAGTTGATAAGAAAAGAAAAAGCATAAGTGTACAAGAAATAGAAACCTTTGTTGTATTAACATATTGTAGCAACAAACATCATCTGGTTTTGGTGGAGGAAAAGAAAAGAAAAGAAAAGGGTGATGGATTGGTTGTTACTTCCCTAAAAAGCACCAATTCATATGGAAAATAATTAAATCGGTAATCAAGAATGGCAGAAATCATGAAAGATTGATTGACTCATATTATTGGAGATGTTTAAGTATGTTATCATGATAACAAGACAGAGTAGTTACAATTCTATTAAACATTGAAAAAAGAGTAGTTACAATTGTTAAAAATAAAAAAAAATTACCTCCTCAGGAGTTTTCCTCGTGTCGTGTCTATCAGAGTATGAATTCATCAACTTCTTTCGTTGGATGACTACAAGCCACACTTTCCTACATCAACCCTTCAAACAAAAGCATACCACCTGTGTCCGAAGAGGGTAATAACGTAATTTCAAAACAATTTGGTGTATTATATCAAACTTTAACAACTCATTTACAACTTACTGTCCTGTATAAAAATGGACATGATCCCGTATATGACTCCATGTTATTCCTTTAAAAACAGAAAGAAGAGTAAAATACACTTTTGGTCCCTGATGAATTTGACATGTAACATTTCTGGTCCCTGTGCCAAGTAAGAATAGCTGATTATATTATTTTTGGTCCCAAAAAGATTGTCATTTTACTTTGAACAAGAATAAAAAACATTACAAACCTCAAACAAGGACCAAAACTGAAAAATCAGCTACATGTAGGGACCAAAAATGTAATATTACTCTAAAAAGATAGACGAATCATTCATATGTCATATATTGTTACAGAATCATTGATATTTGATAGTGAAAATTATCTATTATTATATGATCCAGTAACAAAAATTGCCACGAGAAAGAATGAGATGAAATCCATACTTTCTTAACATAATTGGTTTGGCTAAAAAGGTAACATAAAGATGCTTGTTGTTTATTAGCAAAATTTTCAAATATAATATTTTCATTGACAAATTAGAAATGATTATTATCTCACCAGAGATACGAAAGTAGCCCCTCTCTTTTATAATGACCACTTGCTTTTAACATTTCAGCCCCTCTTTTTAACATTTCCCTTCCCTGGTGTCCTAATTCCATAAATAAAAACACATTTTTTTATTTTAAATAAATAAAAGATTTGACTAAATAACAAATATCTTTTGTAAAGAATTACCAGGTGTAATAAATAGATGCTGAAGGTGTTTTCAACATCTTTTTTTGATTGATTCAACATCAAGCATGTTAATCCCATCAAGATAATAAATAGACACAGGTTTTAGAACAGACATGCTTTGTCATCAATGGATAGAAGGAGGTAATTTGATAAAGCAGTTTCATAATCACCCAACACAACACTCTTATTTGAGATTCAATGGAACAAAAACTGTAACTTTAAACATCAACAGAAAAACTAAATAAGAACATAAAACGCATCAAGTGTTTTTATAATGTTAAGGGTAAAAACATACACCTTAATTCTCGGGGGCATCTTCTTTTCTTTTTTTCCACCATAAGTTGTTAATTTGGTTTCTAAAACCTTTTCTTGTTTTAGAGTAATAAATGGAATCTGTCAAAGGAATTGGAATCAAGAATAGCAATTAAATGTCATACAAATTAATGTAAGGGAACTTATGGTCCACATAATCTCTTTAAAATGAATGGAATTTGTCAAAGGAATTGGAATCTGCCATATGCATGTTGACAGGAAATGGAAAGGATTCGATTCCATTCATTTGTTGCTTTGTGTTTAGTTTACTATAAAAGAATTTATAGTTAAACTTATGTTAAAATGAACGAATCACCATTTTGTGAACTTTTTTAGTAAAATAATAAAATTGATATTTACTGAAAAAAGATATATATCTCTGAAAAAGGTACAAAACATTAAAGTAAAGTAATATGACATTAAAAGTGACTTATGAAGAAAAATAAATAATTAATAATACAATAAATAATCTTTTTAATGAAGAAATAAATAATTGAATTTCGATTCCTCCCTAGGAATGATAAAAATCCTTTGAATACAGATTTTAGGGGAATTTGATGGAATCTAATTTGTCAACCAAATTTGTAACTGAAGGAATCTCCATTCCAATTCCTTCAAAATTCTATGGAATCTATGAACCAAACACGTCCTATGTTGCTCTTAGGATTAAAATAGAAAAAAGATATGAAAGAAAAACAACATGTCGATTTAGAGTATGTATTCTTTGCTCCATGTTAGGAGTAATATCTTTGGATGATGAATCTATCACGAACAAAATCCTTCAATAGTTGCACCTGAGAAAAGTTAAAGAGTTTATCAATAGATATACATATACTATTATATAGTCTTAAATTAAATTATTCTTTTTTTTGTTTTCAGAAAGAACCTCATCCATATCCTCTTTTGTTGGGTAAAGGGTCAAAAAATCCAAGTCATTCAAGTTTTACTTAATGAAAAGATGGAAACAAAACTGTATCACATGAAAAGCACTTACTGTGGATTTGGTTCTCATTCCAACACATTCATTATAATTAAAGCCATGTAATTTAAATGGGAGAATGAGAAATAATGCACTTTAAAAACATACATGTAACATGATGATCAAAGGCTTCATGGTCACCACCACGTAAATAAATAATTTTAAAATGACAATAATTTAGACTCTTAGAACACTGTGTAACTTTCACATTAGAACTGTGTGTAACTTTCACATAGTATAAGTAAGTGCAAAAACATACAGATATCCTCTATTAACCTTTCCTCTGTCACCTACTTGAATGAAAAAAAAAACATTACTTAGAAAAAACTAACACTTGACTACATGCCTAAATTAGCTAGAAAGTAGATTGCTATTTGACTTGTACATGAATGCAAACACAACTTCATCTTTTTCGTATCATCTTTTTCATATCACACAATGAGATTTAAAAACAAAGAGGACACCATATAAAAAAATCATGATACTTTGTTTTGACCTAACAAAGAACCTGTGTTCTTTAATCTTGGAATCTCAGAAATAGTAAGAGAAGATGACATAAACAAGCCCACAAAAAAAATGCATAAAATTGGTTATTCATATGAATGCTGACAGAATCTGAAATACAATCTCAAACGACCCAAAAAAAATCATCCAACCACAAGACATTATCAAATGATCAACAAAACCACAGAAACACATTCTGAAATAAGCCTACCAGACACGCTTAATCAAGATTTTACAGAAAAACAAAAACCCAATAAAAAGATAGGAGAAGAAAACCCTAAAAAACGATCGATAAAACTACAGAATAACTACGTAGTTTCCTTCTGTTTTTATGTTGCAAAATAACTTGCAGTTAGAAAATCAGATTTTAGATCAAATAAAAAAAACCGCAGATCAGAAAAAAAAAATTTAAAAAGCAGCAACTAAGCTTCGATATTTTGTTATCCATATATACAGAGAAAATTTCAACACGAAATTAGAGAAAACTCCTGGAAAACTAAAATAAAAGAGAGAAGAGAAAAATGATAAGAATGAAAACTTACGATGATCTTGATAATTTCTTTGGATTATAGACATGTTTGTGAGTGTCCAGCGAAGGATGGAGGTGCTTGGGTCTCAGGGGAGCGGAGTCACAAATATCGGGGTGAGTCTCCGGCAGTGTTTGGAGAGCAGGGAGCGGAATGAGTGAAGAGTGGAAGAGGGAAGAAGAAAAGGTTCTTTTTATATTAAGCACCAATACACCGACTCAATCCTTTCGACTTCTCACTTCCAACGGTTATTTTATATTATAGACAAAATGGCAAAAATGGTCCTTGTGTTATGCACTTTTTTGGGGTTTTAGTCCAAACCACGAGTTTTTTAGATTGGTGGTCCTTTTGAGCTAGTTTGCTTGTAATTTTGGTCCCTCGGAAAACTGAAAAGACTAAAATGCCCTTTCTGGTATATTTTTTATATTTTTTCTATTTAATTTAAAGGAAAAAGGAAATAAATAACTAATTTGAGCCCACTTCTCTCTCTCTCTCTCTCTCTCTCTCTCTCTCTCTCTCTTCCCTCACCCAAACACCCCATTTTGCTGTTGTTGCTTCCCCTCTATGGGTGTACCACCGGAACAAAAAGAAGAACCACGAGGGAGTTGCTGGAGCAACCTCCCTTACCACATCAGACGGCGGGATCGCCTCCTCCTCCACTCCGTTGCAAATCGCCACCATAAGACAAACTGCTACCACCTCTGCAACTCCCTTCCTCCCTCATTTTCTTTCCTGTTGATTAATCACCCCAAACACCCTACGATCACTTTGAGCACTGCCCCACATCCACAGCCAACAACAAAAAAGGAATGTAGCAGAGAAGAGCACCGGAGCAGCCTTATTGCCACCACCATCTTCAGCCCCTCACCATCACCGTTTCCCTGTTCCAGCCATCACCTTCGATTGTTCAACTAACCCACGAAGGTGAAGAACCCCCCCTCCTTCATCGCTTGTGTTACAGGACAAAAACAACCCCGCTCACCATTAATGGCGGCGAAAGCGATCGCCGTTTCTGCTACTCCTCTTCCCTGCATATGAAGTCGTCGACGACGAGTTGAATGGGACTAAGAAGATCACCGGCCTTGAAAGTTCTTCCTTAAACCACTACCTAGTCACCTCACTGAAACTGCTTTGCTCATTTGATCTGTGGCTGCCGATTGGAGATTAAACCATAGGAGTGGCCGGAGATCGGCTTCCCTCCTAGCGATCTGTAAAGCCTTTAGCGAACCACCCGCTCCCACCTTGGTCGCTGCCACTGTGAGGACTCCAACCATCGCCAGCCACTGATTTCGATCACCACCAACTCCTCCTTCCTCCCTTGTGTCATTCCCGTCGAGTGTAAGTCGAAAACGAAGCAGCAAAAGGGGTCGGTATTTTAAGAGAGAGAGAGAGAGATAAAGATAAGTGGGCCCACTTTTATATTTATTAATAATAACAATTTTAAAAAGTAAAAAGAAAATGAAAACTAAATTCATTAAGGGTATAATAGTCATTTTAGTTTGGACAGGGACTAAAACTGCAAGCAAACTAGCTCAAAAGGACCACCAATCCAAAAAACTCGTGGTTTGGACCAAAACCCCAAAAAAAATGCATACCACATGGACCATTTTTGCAATTTTGTCAATATTATATAACCTTTCCAAACTTAAAATCTCTAAGAGTAAATTAGGTCTCTATGGTTTGGGGTAATTTGTGTGTTTGGTCCCTAACTTATATTTTTAACTCGGAAGGTACCTACTGTTCGTTTTTGTTACGCTTTTGGTCCCTACTATTTGTTTTTTTACGCTCTTGGTCTCTGTCTTACCTAAAAAACTATTATTTAAATAGGAAAAAATGGTGGGGTAGGCAATGTAAGGTTAGATGGGTGGGGTTGGGGGAGTGTTTATTTAAATAAATTAAAAAATCAAGGGAAAAATAGTCTTTTTAGGTAAGATAGTGACCAAACGCGTAACAAAAACAAACAGTAGGGATCTTCCAAGTTAAAAAAATAAGTTAGGGACTAAACACACAAATTACCCTAAACCATAGGGACCATTCGTCTAATTTACTCAATCTCTAAATTACAATACTAACAAAAAAACATTTCCATTTATCTTCCCTTCACCGTTAACTTTTGATTTCTACGGGTTAAAACCCGTCTTTTTACCTTTTATTATAAAATTGGTCTCTTATTTTTCTTTTTAATTTTTATTTAGTCAAAACTTTTTTTTAACTTTTTTACAGAAAATACTTTTACTTTTTATTATAAATTTTTTTTATATATTTTTGAAAAACAGGTTTTATTTAGAAAACTATTTTGTTACAACTTTGTTTTATAGAAACTCATTTTTATAAAAAGTAATTTTTTACAAATACTTTATTATCTGTATTTTATGTATGTTTTCTAAAATTTCTTTGTTTTTATAAATTGCATTTTTTTAATTCATTTTCTATATTTTACAAAAAATATTTTTTACAGCTTCTTCTACATGTTTATTTTTTCTATTGAAATTCGTTTTCTATTTTCTATATATTGGTTTTTATGCATCACTAGTTGTAATAATTATAATTTTTCAAAAAGCCAACTTTTTATAATTAAAAACAGTATTAGTTATGAATAACATAAATTAAAAAAAACATATTAAGATTATGTTTAACGTGTTAGCTGATAAAAAATAATGTTTGGTAAAAACTAGTTGATAAGTGTTAAGGCGTGTCAAACCCAACAAATAAGGGGTACAAATGACTCTTTGCACACTACTACTTTGTATTAAAAATGTAATACAAGGTAAATAGGGTCGATCCTCAGAGACACGAGATAAATGCTTATACCCTTTTGCACAAGGTACAAATGAAATCACAAAAGATGGGGGGGTTTAGATACAATGATTCAAACAAAAGATTGAAGTGAGAAATAGCAATTGATTAAGTAAAGTAAATTCAAGCTTTGTAAGAGCTCCAACTCTATGCAAGAATAATTAGAAATGTGATTCAAAATATGAAATGATATTTGTTTAATTCCATCTAAGTTGGTATTAGAAATGCTAATAAGCTCTAGCAATTCACATTCACCATTTTAATTAATTAAAATAAGCTCTTCAATTAATTCTAATCTAACTAACCTAATCTAAATAAGTTCTTAGAATAGGTGAAAGATTGCATGATGCTTTATGTGAATTTTACCAACAACATTCAATACTCCTCATAAGTTTGGGAATGTTAGAATGTGTGAATTTAATTTGTACTAAAATCATTGCAAGTAGTATGATTTAATACATGTTCTAAGATCCTACCTTCAAAAGTCCCTGAAATATCACAAAAGTGTGTGAATGGAATTGCATCATGAAAAATACCGAAAAATATGTAAAATACATGATTTAAACCTAAATGCAATGCACTTTTATGGACTAAAACTACAAAATGAATGCATGAAATGCACCTAACAAATCTCCCCCAAGCTTGAACTTTTCTTGTCCTCAAGAAAGAACAAGAAAAATTTAAACTAGAGAAAATAAAATAATATAAAAATAAAAAAGAAGAAAAGAAAATCAAAGTTAAAACTTTTTTGAAATTTAATGCATGAAATTAAAACAAACATGATAAAGATCCAACCCAATCAACCATGTTTTTGTACCATAGTTGAGAATGTACCTGTCGTGCCTTGAGTCAACTTAGTTTTAGTCTCAAAATATTATATAACAATAGACATAAGACTTTAGTCACTCCCTAATGCAACTGAACAGAATCAAAGATCACAACACTTGTGCCCTTTCAATATCAACAAGTCAATTCATGGAACAAATTATGATCTTACTCTCATGAAATTGTATGTGACAAAACATGCTCAATCATCTTTGTTTCACAAATTATAACAATGACCGACTCCAGCTATTTGTTGATCAACAACAATCTTTTTCTGAAAAAATCTTTTCTAAAAATTCCCTAATGCTTATCCAGATTTGTTACAAATTTCAAACCACTTACACCAGTCAAAGTAATTAACATTCAGTCTCAATGTCAAAAGTTCAAATCCAAGTCCAAGGGAATCTTTTGGCAGCCATATTTTTCCTAAACATATTATTCAATAAAGACATGAACATAAATATATACAAACTTCCTAATTACATTTTCCTACAAATAAAGCTCATGGCTTTTTTTGAAATTCGTGTAACGGGCTTCCAACCAACACATCCAGATCAAATGACCTTAGTGTGCTAGATTTAAAAAGATCCCTCGGGTTTACTTGTCCGAACCTCAAAGGCCACAGATTAGCTTTATTTGGTTATTAAGTTCATGACTTTCTATGGAACCCGTGTAGCGAACTTTCAACCCAATCAGTCCCAAACAATTTTGCTTTAGGCGATTAGGTGTAGAACACCCCTCGGAGTTTACTTATTCGAGTTCCAAAGGTCACAGATTAACTTAATAACAATTATTATTATTATTATTATTATTATTATTTAAATATATATAACTAAGATAACACATAACACTCTTATTAGTTTGTTTATTTGGCTTATTTCTTTATATTTTCGTCCTTGACTTTTCTATTGTGGGACATCTCACGGTCTATTACCGTGAGGGCTTCTAGACATTTTTTCGGGGGACTGAAGTTAACATGCAAAGACCCGTAGGTATAGTTTGAAATATGTCCCCAAGCAAGGTATATAAAAGGGAATGAGTATAAAGGACTTTTTAGAGCGCTGGAAGGCTCGGGACACTGAAATTTTATATTCTTTTTATGCTTTCTTGAATTTGGCATTTTAGGACCAATTGAGCATTTACTACTCATAAGACCGGTCACGCGTCCCAAAGAATTGACTCATACCTACCGTTATGCTCCAATGTTGACAATCTTCTCATTTTCTGTTTTGCACAAGTAGTTTCGGGATGTGTGTTCGTGTGCGATTAGCTTGCTTTTAGATTTTCAATAAAAAGAGCAAGTCTAATCTCAAGGCAAATGACTTACTTACCGGCTCAACTGTTTTGAGAAGATTTGGGATTGGATCAATTTTTTTATTTTTTTATTTTTGAAACATGAATGCAATGCAAAAATTTAGATGCAAAATGCAAAAAAAAACTATATATATATAGAATAGAAAGAAAATCTTTTTGGTTTTTGAAAAATTTCCTATGCAGAAAAATGAAAAGAAGAAAAAAAATGCAATATGTACAAAACTACATGCAACCTACATGCAACGGGATTTATGCAT